TCACCTTAAAGACTTTGCAGTCTGATTCCTCCTACACACAGCCAGGGATGCTTAGTTTGGTTTATCACCTATTTCATCTCCTCAGATAAATCTGGAAGTAAGTGGTTTTGGTCCCTGGTAGAGTGCAGGGATCGGGCTCCTTGTCATGAGCCAGCCTGAGGGGTAAAAGGTAGGGAAAGGGCTCTAGAGGGAGCCCATGACTGTCTCAGCTCCAAGCACCCCTGCTAGAGTATCAGAAAATAATGAGGCACCGTGAAGCCATGGCATCAGCCTGTGGCAATTCACCTCTTCCAGCCTATGAAGGGGCAGCTGCCCCTGCCTTTCCAGGGCAGTGCTGGCTCTGCTTTCCCTGGGAGCATGCACAGAGCGATCCTGCACTGCTGCAAGGGACCCGCTGCCTCCGAATGTGCCTGCAGATGGCATTGGGGCTGCCTCCTAACCCCGGGCTGTGTCCCCTGAGCCAGGACAATGCACCAGGAGCTGGTGGGAGCAAKAYGAGCCTCCAGCACTTCTCCCACCTCCCCAGATCCAGCCCAACACGAGAAGCCATAACGATCAGGGAAGGAAAGCATCATGAGGGAGGGCAGGTCAAGCCCCAGCACTTCAGCCACCTGCATCCTGCTGCATCCAAAATAACCCACCACCTTGAGCTCCCCCTTGCCATGGAGAAATCTGGCTTTGGTTTCTCAAATGAACTCAGTTCAAACCATGAATCTTGCTGGGCCTTTCTCTGGGAGATTAAAAGCTCTCTAATACCTGATCGTCTGTCACCCATGAAGTGGCTGCAGTGTTATAAAGGAGGTGTCTCTGTGGCTCCTTTGAACTTGCTGGGGAGGCTGCGGGCCTCAGCCACCCCCTGCAAAGCAGGGCTCACTTTTAACACTCCTCCACCTTCTCCCGATTCGTCAGCATCCTTTTCAAAACGCAGATGCTGGAGCCCTTCTTCTGTAGCACCCAGCCCCATCCCAGCTGGACATCCCCATGGGGAACCTGCTGCCCCCCCATTATCCCTCCTGCCTCCTTAGTTCCCCCCATCCATCCTTGCCAGGGTTTCCAGCAGAAGGGCCCTGTGCTCAGTGGACAGACCCTTTCACAGCTGCTCGCATTCAAGCACGTTTTATTTGCCGGGGACGCGGCTTGTGAAGTTTTCTACAGCTGTCTTGACCTCGTCCATGTCTCCTGCCCCTCTCATTTCCCTCGCCCCGGCGTTTTTCTCAGCAGGGCTTTTTAATCTATTTCTAGACCATTGATGGAAATACTGAATAGCACTGGGCTTCCCATCCAAGCCCGGACACCCACTGAGCGCGCTCCCATTCTGCAGGGATTCCCCATTGATGGTTGTCGGTTTGCCAGCTCCCAGCCCCTTTAAGGTGTCCCTCTTGATGTTGTATTGTGCTAATTTTTAATCAGAATAGTATATGGATTAAGTCACATGCCTGAACAGAGCCCAGGTCTATTATTTCTATGCCATAACCTTTATCAGCCAAACTTGTAATCTCTTCAAAGGATGACATCAGAGTTTGACAAGAGCTATTTTCTGGAAACTAGGCTGATTGCATTAATTATATTCCCATCCTTTAATTCTTTACCAGCTGAATCCCACATCAGCTTTTCTATTATTACGCTTGAGATCAGTATTGCACTGCTACGTGTAAATCAGCTCCGAGCACCGTTCACATGAGAGAGTGTAAGGACCCACATCCTGCCAGGSCCTGTGCTGGGGTGGGATGGGGAGTGTCACTGCCTAGGCTGGATGTCTGTGAGTTTCACAAAGCTGGGGGAAAAAAAAAAGTTAAAAAAAAAATCCAAAAGTGTTCCGTAAACGCAACGAGCCAGGCATCTGCAGTAGCATAATTGCATAAGAAAGCAGAAACAATCCCTACTGGAAATCAATCTGAGTGRTTTGTGATTTTTAGAGGATTGTCTAGTGGCTTGTTTGCATGTTCAGCTTTTGGGATGGTATCTAGGGTCTGCCTGGTTTCGAGTCTATCACTGCTTTCCAGGGAAGAAACAAGCTTTTGCAGTTCCCTGGCACCTTACTCTCTTTTGATCTCTGCACCTGGCAATCCCCTTCTTCTCCCGGCAGTATCCCCCATCACTGCAGCCCCAGAGCTGGGGCACCCTGCTCCCCATCAGCACCCATCCTGGATCCGGGGAGTCTCCACGTGGTGTGACCCATTCCAGACCATGCAGTGCCACCTCTTGGACAGTCCCTGATTTCTCCCCGCGGCAGAGTAGCTCAGCTCAGAGAAGCAGGACACACATTGCAGATTCCAAACCAGATGTAGTTGCTGTTGGAAGCAAGAGCGGTCAGTGGACCGGCGCTCCTACATCCCCAGGTCCACGGTGTGTGGTCCAAAATGGACATAGCTCAGGTGTGCCACGGTGTTCAACACGGACAGAGCTGTGGTGTTTGAGGTTTTGATGCCTYTCCTGGGCAGAGCCCTTCGACCAGACCCTGGAAGTTTCCAAAATCTCTCTGGGGCCATCTCTGCCCGGGATGCTCACGGGAGCTCTGCGGGCTCCCCTCATCCTGGGGCAGACGGAACCCATGAGGTGCCCACCCAGCCGGGGCAAGGCGGGAACCCAGCCCGAACCCTCGGCCCCGAGCCGGAGCTGTCCGGGGAGCCCAGCCCGTTCCTTCGGCCATGTGCTGCGGCTCCCGGGGCTCGAAACCCCCCGGGCCGGGATCTCCGTACTCGCCCGGGCCGGCCCCTCAGCGGGAGCGGGGCCTGCAGCCCCCCGAGCGCCGCGTGTGC